CTAGAAGGATGAGTTCTGGGAAGGAAAGTGAGAATTTTGATGAAAGTGAGAATTTTGATGAATGTGAGACCAAAGGACCTGGTTCCCTAAATGCAGCAGAGATCTGCTTCCTAACCTCCATGCCTCGAACCTCTGCCTACTCTACGTCTGACCTGGAAACCTCTCAGAGCCTTGGAAATGCAATCTGAGCCAAATCCCCAGGGCATTCAGGGTTTCCTGCCTCTCCTCTTCTTCTGCCAAGAGCTCAGGTGTTCAAGGTAAATGGGCCCTATCCAGGTTTACCAGCCCTCCTGCTGGTCCGAGCTCCTTCTGGGCTCCCTGACAAGGTGGGAACCCTGGTTGGGGAGCTTCCACAGGCTTACAAGAACCCATGGACCCCGGGGAGCCCCTCCCAGTAAATGCCTGCATCTGTTGGGCCCAGGAACTGACTTAAGCGTCAAGCCCTGTGGATGCAGGTGTGGGGCCTGGAAGGGTGAAAACCAAAGAAGAGCCCCTAGTGTACTCACTCTCCTCTGGCTGTACCAAAGCAGGGATATCAGGGTATCCTCCTCATTCCTTCCAATGCCATGACCCACGTGCCTGTAGTCTGAGAGCACTCAGAGTGTAGTGAGGCTCGAGGCAGGCCGAGGTGTACTGCTGATGCTGGGGACAGCAGTGCAGGGGTCTGCCTAGGATCCCTGGCATCTGCCCTGTCCAGTCCAAGGGGAAGGGGACTTCCGCATACTGAAGGGAAACAATGAAGCCTGCCTGGGGGCAGACCAAGAAGCTGCTCTGCCGCCTTACCCTCCAGCCAGTTAACTGCAAGTAAGCACACCTGTCATAGCACCCCTGAGCTGGTCCTCCAGAGACTTAGCAGAAGGGAAGCTGAGAGTCCCTCCACCCCCATGCTCTTGAGCGCTGCCTCTGGGGCTGCCAGGGCCCAGTTGTGTATTGTAGCTGGGTGTGTGTGCGTGTCTGGGGAGAATGAGGGGCATACACACCTGTGCGGGGGGTCTTCTCAGGCCTGGAGATGTGAAGTCAGAGCAGGGTGCAGGGGGCCCCGTCCTGGCATCTCCCACGGCACTCCACCCAGCTCTCCATCAGTCTTGTGCAAATGAGCTCCAGAACCGGCAGATCCTCGCCACCCAGGCTCCCTTCCCCGCTGGGAATCGGATGCTGTCACTCATCCTCTCGTGGAAACAATTATTGTTGTCGGGAAGATTGAAGATGGAGCGAGGTTCCATAAGAAGAACTCAGCATTCGGGGCAGAGCCAGAAATTGGGATAGGTGTAGGAGGCAGGTCCTTCCTTGATGGTTTTCCCAGGGTAGACCATTATCCCTCTGGGTGAAGGTGCAGGCCTGACGGGAAGGCCTCAGGGAGCACTCTCCCTGTGTCCCCCTGAACCCCACCCCCCAGCCTCTGCCTGTTGAGGCTTTGCAGCATAAAAATGCTGAGTGTTGAGTTTACTTTCATTGCTATTCCAGACAACAGCCCTATTGATATTCAAGGAAATGCTCTGCTCATGCTCTGTTCAGAATCTCCTTTGGGAAGGGAAGGCCTGGTCTCAGGTCTGTTTCCTTGCCTTGCCCAAACCCTGGCGGGCTCTGTCCTGCCCCAGGGCCCCTGGCCTCTGAAAGCAGGCCTTCCTCTCTAGCCCACGTGGTTGCTGCCATGTCCCCTGTCCCCTCCACCCTTTAGGAGGTGGGAGCCTTGGGGGCCTCCGGAGGAGCCCCAGAATTGCCCTGTTATCCCAATGGAGCATGGCCTGGCCCTTTCTAGGACCTGGCAAGGGGCGGGGGTATCCCTGGAAGAACTAGGTAACAAGGTTTCAAAAGCCAATGCCTTTGTTTTCTTTCCCAGTGATTATTATTCGAGCAACAGGCAGAGGCGAAGGAAGCTTGAATGTTGGAGGCCTGACAGGCGGTTGGGGGTGGGGCTGCAGAAGGGAGGGCTAGCAGAGGACCTGGAGAGCCCAGCTGGGACATGGGACATCAGGCTGGGCTGTGATGGGATCCTTATCAAGGCCCTCCCTCTCTAACTAGTCAGCCCTTCATCTGCCCCCACCATCCTCCAGCAACTTTCCCTACCGCCCACTCCTCCTCTCCCAGGACCTTGGATAATGTCCACAGGAGAACTTGAAAATAGAACGCTGGTTTGTTTTGCGTCCTTGGCATTTAGCTGCCAGCATCGACTCCCTGTGGCTGAGGAAGGGGCTGCCCCATGCCAGCCTGTTTCCCTCCCCACCTTGGCCAGGCTGATAAGAGGCGGGCATTTCTTCCCTGCCTGGCATCACCACCCCCTGATCTCTTGGTGAAAGTGACCTGCGTTTACCTCCCCCGAGAGGATGGGTCAGAGTCCAAGGGGATGAGGGGTACCGCCCCCACCCCCAGGTGCTCCTGTGTTCTCAGGGGTTGCTATGGGTACACTGGGGTGGGGCACAGCCATTGACCTGTGGCCAACAGCCCACTGCTTTGCCCTTCTGCTACCCGAAGCAGCCCCAGCTCTGGTACTGGAAAGGGAGCTGCTAGGCTAATGGTCTTATTTCATTTTCGTGCCTTCTGCTGAGACCTCCCTCTGCAAGACCTAGTGCTCCTAAGAGACTTGTAATCCTCCCACATTAGGCCTTCGGCTGGTGCCCAGATGGACGCTGTAGGGCCCCTTTCTGGTCAGGAGGGGCTGAGCAGGGAGGGCATGCCCTGACACTGACACTGTCTACTCCTCCTGTTTTCTGCTGTAGGTTAATCGCCTTAGAAATGGCAAAGATTCATGCTATCCATGCCAACGGCAGCCTGCCCAAGCCCACCCTCTGGCACAAGATGCACAATTATTTCACGCTTGTGAAGAACGAGATCAACCTCAGGTATAAAGATCTGGGAGGGTCCGAGGCTGCCACGGTCTCTCCTGCCTTAATGTGATCTCCACTCCCCATTCTCTTGGCTCCAGCACACTTTTACAGGAGGTTTAGGGGCATAGGTCCTGGGGTGGAGGCTGCAGAGTTTCTCCTGTGGCCCCTTCTGTCTTGATTGCTTAGCCTCTGTCTCCCTGCAGAGTTGGGCCGATTGACTAAATCTCAAAAACTTAGAGCAGCAGTTTTATACCTATGTGCTTATTTCTCCTTGAGTCTTCTGAGTGTGGCAGGGACTAGGGTCAGGGACAGCATCTCCCCATTTCATTTAAAGGATACTGAGGCTCAGAGACTGAGCTTTGCCCAGAGTCATGGGCTAGTCAGAGGCAGGGTTTTGTTTCCCAGCCCAGGTCTCCTTCGCTTGAGCTGCCTTCTGAACAGTGAGAAGGCAGGACCCCCTGAGCATGGAGTAGGACTGAGTTCAGAGCCAGTCAAAAGAACTCAACTCACCAGCCAGCAAGCCCTTGGGACATCGAGGTGTCTGCTACTTGCCTGGACTCCTCTTGTCCCCAGCTGCCTTTGGGGATGGATCCTGCCCCCACCTTGTCCAGTCTGACAGCCTGCTGTTCTCTTTACTGCTCTTTCCAGGGAAGGAGGTATACACCTATCCTGGCATTGCGTTTCCCTAGATAACACGGGGTTCCCTGAACTTTTTCTTAAGCTCTCTGGCCAGAAAATGCAGAGTTCTGCTAGCCTTCAGACACCGGACTCCCCAACACACCCTGGAGTGCTGGGTAAACGGGGGAGGCATGGAGGACAGAGTGGTCTCCCTGTGCCCCACCAAAAAAAAAGGTAGTCGTGAGCCTCTGATCCCCCATGTTCTCTGCTGGGATTGAACATCACCTTTGTTCTAAATGTTGAGGAGAGTAGGGTGCAGAAGAGGCTTGACGGAAGGGTACCAACTTCCTACCTCTGAAATGACGAGACAGTAATTGACTCTGTACCGATCATGAGTGTGTCTCTGTCGCACATACGTGACATTATCTGAATCCTCCCACTTAATGATCATCAAGCACTGCTTTGGGACTATTTGTCCAGATGGCCCAAGCTTGCCCTCTCTTTGACCATGTTCAGACCTTCTATGTCAAATGTTATCTCTGGGACAAGGACTGCCTTCTCCCTTAGGACTAGATCAGCACATGGAGAACAGGACCCTCCAGTCTTCCAGTTTACTGCCTTCATTTGGCAGATGGAAAAACTGAGGCCCAGAGAGGGAATAGGATTTGTTCAAGGTCATTTGTTCAGGGACTAGAGTCCAGGCCTCTTGGTGCTCAGGCATGATCCTTGATACTGCAGCTTCTTTGGACTGTACTGTCACTGTGTAACCTTAAGGGGTAACCTTTTTGGGAGGGGAGTGGTCCCTGAAAAAGAACTGGCCAACTCTTTGCTTTTGTCACACCTTTGACCTTGGGCATATCAAGTTGCTTAGCTGCTTTGAGCTTCTTTAGGAGATAATCTGCCTAACCTGCCCAAAAGCTGGGCAATGATGAGCAACCATTTAAGCTAGAAAAAGCACCGTGAACTCCAGTCCTTGCCTAGTAACCCTTATTTATTCAGTCATCCATTTCATAAAGATTGATTGATTGATTGGGATTTAAAACAATAAAACAAAAACAACGACAACAACAAAAACAAGCATGACATTGGCCTTGCCCTCAAGGAACTTAGGAGCCATCTGGGTAAACAGGACATGCTCATGCCCAGCTACAAAAGAAGGCAGGGTGTGTGATGTATGCTGGGGGTGAGAGAACCAGGGAACTTAGTCTTCTTAGTAGAGGTGGCATGGCAGAGATAAGAGGGAGGCTGCTGCAGCTGGTGGAGGTGGCTTGAGCAAGGCTTGCTCATGTGTGGTAAGTAGAGGAAGTTGGCCGAAGCAACTTTTGGGAAGAGTTGTGGGAGATGGGGCTGCAGAGCTGAGTTGGAGCTAGATGGAGAGGGGCCTTGAATTCCAGGTTAAGGAGCCAAGATTTAATTTAGTAGGCATTGGAAAGTCATGAAGGTGTTCGAACCAGGGACTCAGAAACCCAACCAGGAATTGTAGTCTAGGAAGAAAGTTCACTAGCACTGTTAGGGATAGATTTGAGGTAGGGGGACCAGCTGGGGAAGTCTTGTAATTAAATGGACAAGATGTAGGACTAGGGTTCCCAAACTTTGAGCCTAAGATTCCTCTGGAGTGCTTGCTAAGTGCAGATTTCTAGCCCAGCCCTGCAGATTGATGGAGAGGTCTTGCCTGAAACGCCAGGAATGTGTATTTTGATAGGCTTCCCAGATGATTCCGAGGCAGATAACCCAGGAGCCACTTTTTGATAGAGGAACCACATTTTGAGGAACATTGCCTTAGGGTAGCTTCAGGAGGGATGGAGAATGGGGGAATGTGTCAGAGACTTGTGGGAATAGACTTGGTAGCCTTGGCATTGGTTGGACATGGAGGTGTCCAGGGTGCTGGGAGAGTGAAGGGCTGATTGATGACTGACTGAGGGGCATCAAGAGGAGATTCTGATGGGTGGCTGATGGAAGGCAAAGGTGATAAGCGAGTGAGCTCCAACACTTAAGACAGTCCCTGTGGGGAGGAAGCACTTCTGCCTGCCCAGATGCTCAGAGCTGCATGGAGACTTGCCAGGGAGCCGTCCCTTCATCAGGAGGAAAGCTACGGCATTCCTGGGGAGCCCCTCAGCCCCTGCATCCCCCGCATCCCCCAACCCCCTCACTGTCTCTGAAGGGTGGAGGAGCAAGCCTCCTTGTTCTTATTTTTTGATGGTGTCAGTCCAAGAAAAAAAAAGAATCTTAAAAGAAGAGGTGGCTTCTTGAGGAGACCCAAGATTGAAGATACCTTAGGCTGATTTGTCAACACAAACTCCAGTGAGGGTGAGGGGAGGCCTCCCCCATGTCACCCTTCCCAGCAGACCCCCTGGACTCAGAGGCCTTTGCAGGGCCTCTGGGGACACCAAGGCCTTCAGGGAGCATGCACAGCCCTCACAGTTGGGAGACTCGGCTCAATTTTGGATCTTCAGACAAGTCCAGAACTGCTTTCTCCTTAGATGAGGAAGTAGAGGATCCAGCTGTGCAAGAGATACCTGGAGGCTGGAAGGAAGCCTCCTTCCTTGAGCCTCAGTTTCCCCATGGGGTTGGACCAGATGACCTAAGATCCTCTTTAGCTTTGACCTTCTCAAAGCCTGGGAGGGAGCCTGCCCACCCCTCCTTTTGCAGAGGAAGTTGCTGAGTACTCTTCCCCGTGTCTGGCCTCTGGAGTGGGTGAGGCACTGTCTGGCCGTGGGAAGTGAGAGAGGGCACATCTCATTCTCATCTTCCTTTACGTGCTCTTGCCCCCCTGGACAAAGAAACGCAAACAGGAAATGCATGAATGGAGATCAAACCCCAGCCTCCTCCCTTCTCCTCATTGGTGGTTCTGAGTTTTTAAGGACTGTGTTATTTGGCTTTTCTAATGTACACAGACCTGTGAGCATCGTGGGGACCAAAGTCCAGAGCATGCAAGCACGGTGTGCCCTCGCCACATTTCCACATGGCCTCTCATAACTTCATTGATTGACCAGTTCATTCATCCCTCAACACATGTTTCAGCAGAAATGGCTGCTGTGTGCATGGGATAGGAGTGGGGCAGAAGGAAAGGTGGGCTCTGTGTGTGCTCCTGCCCTCGAGTTGCCCAGGCGTGATCTGGCAGGGGTCAGGGACAAGGTCATAATTCAAGGCGGAAGGGATGAGTTGTTGGGGAGTGGTAGAGCAAGTGTCACTTTGAAAGGACTTAACATTCCTTGGCATTGATTGGAGAGTGAGCCCAAGACACACAGTTTGCTTCCTTATGTGGTCTGCCTGTGAGATTGTCTCTTTCACCTGTGACATTGTCAGCTGTTAGCATGTGAGGGAGACACACTCGGACTTGCCTCTGCCTCCTCAAGAGAACTCCATGGCTCCAGCCCCTCCCAGGGCACTATGATTCCTTCACGGGAGGAGTGTTGGGGGAGAGTCTCATCGGAGACAGCTACACCTTCTCCCAGGGATCCTGGCAGCCTAAGGTCAGGTCTGTTTGACATCTCTCCCCACAGCCCCTGTTGCCCTTGTCTCTCTTAGTCTGGATCACTGAGTCTGGACACCCATTCTCGCCTCGCCTGTGCTTTCCCTGTTCCTCTTTTTTTTTTTTTTGTCTTTTTTCCGTGTCCGGCAACGGATCGCAACCCTCAGTGTCGCCCCCGTACTGGACCGGGACCAGCAACGGGATTGCAACCCTCGGTGTTGCCCCCGCGCCTCGCTCAGCCAGTGAGTGGGAACCGGTCTGTATGTGGGATCCGAACCCTCGGCGGGAGCGCCTCTGCGCTTCCGAAGCGGCGCACTAGCGCAGTGCGCCACCGGGCCGGCCCCCCGTTCCTCTTTCTAACCTGCTTATCCCTTTCACAAAGCAGCAGGGAAGCCATTTGGTCAGTGACTCTTATGCTCTGCCGAATGCTTTTATGTCCACGTTTTAACCAGCTTCTCGGTGCAACCATAGGATTCAAAAGGACAGGAAGCCTTAGTGCCATTTTACAGATGACAAAGGTCAGGGTCTAAAAGGTTGGCCATTTGTTCGAGGTCCCTCTGCAGTAAGAGGGAATGAGGAGGCGAGAGCCAGGACCCTCAAGGCCATGGACTTGCCTGTCCACCGTCATCCCTCCCTTCACTTGCCGCCTTTTTGCCCCTGTCCAGCCTTTCCAAAGATGTCCCTAAGGTGGATGTGTTGGAATGGGAGCTGGCCTGGCTGAAGGAGCACCTGACCCAGCTGGATTCCCCTGTGGTGTTTTGTCACAACGACCTGCTCTGCAAGAATATCATCTATGACAGCACCAAAGGTATGGCCTCTCTGGCCCTGGCCAGGCAGAAGCAGGGTTTGGGACAGTTGGTCAGCTGGCTTTTGGGGCCTTTTCCTCAGGCTGGCACTTGGACAAGCAAAGGGAGACCTGGGTTTAGGTCTTAAGTTAATTTGTAGGAGAGAAGGGGAAAACAAAATACGAAATTCCCACTTAAAAAAATTTATGCCAAGAAAGAACTCAGAGTTATGGTTTGTGGAGGTCCTCAACCTTAGGGCACCCAAGCCATTCCTCCTGACAACTCTTTGGGCTTCTGAGGACATTGTAGCTGCCCCAAGCCTTCCGAGAGAGAGAACCTCCAGTGTTCTTGAGGAGAGTACTTTTATTACTGACCGTTAGCCATGCTGAGGACCTAGATGTGTGAGAAGGACAGTCGGAGCTGGAAGAGGGGCAGATGGACAAATGGACAGATGCAAGGAAGTAGCCTAGAAGATTGCTGCAAGGTTGGGTCAGGCCGGGTTGCTGCAGAGGCCAGCAGCACTCAGTGGGTGCATTCCGGAGATCTGCAGGAGCTTGACCAGGCCTTATTTCCACATCTCCTGGGACCAGCCCTCATGGTCTCTTTTCTGCCTCATAGGTCACGTACGGTTCATTGACTATGAATATGCCGGCTACAACTACCAAGCTTTTGACATTGGCAACCATTTCAATGAGTTTGCAGGTGAGAGGGCCATTCCTATTTGTCCTGTGTCCAAGGTACCCTCCTTATGATGGGGGCCAGGTCTGAGGGGAGGGCCAGAGGTGGTTCTGTACTTGGAGGGTGAAGGCCAGCTAGCCCCTGTCCTTTGAAATATCACAGCTCCAGGGGGGAAGGCACAGACTGCTTTTAGAGAACTCCAAGTCTCGGGGTTTGCGGGGGCAGGACCCACATCCACAGAGCAGACCTCTGCTAGCCTACATAGCAGTTCACTACAAATTAATAAAATGCACCCTCTGTAGGATCCCCGAGGATCCTTGGCTTGGCCTGTGAATTAGAAGAAGACCCCTTCCTCTGGGCAGACAACCCATACCAGTTTGACCAGCACCACACAGGATGACTTCAGCCTCCAGTTGCTCTCTTATCCAAACTCCTTTAAGCCCAGTGTAACCTGCATACCTGTACATGAGGGCCCTGCATGTAGATAAGGAGCAGAAAAGCTGTAGTAGCTGTTTACCTGGTGGCCTGATGAGAATAATCCAGGTGGAACTAGTTAAAAGTGTGTACTATGCAACTTGACTCCCTAAGTTCAAATCCTGGCTTTGCTGCTTACTAGCTGTGTGACCCTTAGGCAGGTTACTTACGCTCTCTGTGCCCCTGCAAAATGGAGATGATAAGGGTACCTACTTCACAGTCCTGATATGAAATACACACACAGATGTATGGCACATACTAAGCATCTTGTTGGTGTTTGTTGCTGCCATTAGGCGGGGAAGCTTTTCTGCAGAAGCTAGGGAGACTGGAACAGGAGTGGAAGGGGTTGGATGAGGGGAGTGATTCCTATGGGTGGGCAATTATTCTATCCAGGCACGGTATGTACAGTAGAACCATTTGTGTGAAGGAGGCAGGGCAGGTTTTTCCACTTGAGGGTTTAATTGTTACAATTAGATGGAACTGAGGAAGCAAGTCATGGATGGAGCTGGACACTGGGGCTGGAGGGACATGCACAGACCAGCAGTGTGAGGGGGCTCAGCATCATGTGGCCAGCCCCTGTGACTTAGGATAGGTGAGGCACACCCAGGCCACCTGCAGAGCCACCCCCGGCCCAGCTTCAGCCACTCCCTAGCCCAATCCAGGCCAATCTTGCTCCTCTTGGCACCCCAGGTGACCAGGTCTATCAAGCACTGATTGTACCTGAGGGTACAACTCCCCAGGGCAGCCACCAGCTGCACCTAAGAACCACATGGGATGATGGGGCCTCAGCTGAGCAGAGCAGCTGAGCTGTGGGGTGGGGCCAGAACAGGCTGGCACCGGCAGGGCACTGTGCCTGAGAATGCTTGGCTGCTAGGGCAGCTGGCCTTTCCAGAAGGGATAATTCTTAAGCATTTTAAGTCCTTCTCACCCACCACACAGAGCAAAGTCCAACTGGAATTTCTCCAAAGGGGCAGATCGCATCCTGCTCCTAAGTTGAGAATGGTGGAGGAAGAACCTGGCATGGGGGAAAAAAGAGGGCAGGAGAGATTAGGAGCTGAGGAGAGGGACTTCCTGGGTTCTCAGGAGTGGGGAAGACACAGTATTGGGTGTTGGGAGATGGGGGTTCCAACTCTGATCCTGCCTGTAACTGGCCGTGTGACCTACAAATTTCTTCTGTCTGGGCTTTAGTTTCTATATCTCACAAGGAGATTCTTTTCCAGCCATACTCTTGGGGCCTTGGGAGGCTGAGTGTGTTTCTCCAGGGATATAAGGAAGCTTGGGAAAGACAGAAAGAAAAGAAGAGGGAGGAAGAGTCACTGGAGAAGGTGGCCCAGTCCTGGTCCCGTCTTAAATAAGCCATTTCTTTCTGTACCTGCTCTGAAGCCATGGTCTCTATCACCGTGCCCAGGATGTGGCTGGCAGTACTGGGCTGGCAGCTTGGGGACTCCTAGAAAGGTGGGGCTGGAAGAAATCAGAGCCATCTGATGCATGGGTGCCAAGCTTGGCTGCCTATCAGAATCATCTGGAGAACTGGACGGGAGTGGGAGTGCTCTCTGGGTGACTTTTTTGATTAGCCAGCTTAACACCAGTCCAAGAAACAATGTTTGACAGTCATCCATTAAGCCCAGCTCCCTCGTTTGATAATGAAGAAACGTAGGTCCGGGAGAGGAAAGGGCTTGTCCAGGGTTAACTGGAGGTTAGATGAGACTAGCAGTGCTGATTTGGGGCTTTAACTGAGTGCCTCCTGTGTGCCATCGCTTTGTACAGGGCAAAGGAGATACAGTAGTGCTGTCTTGGGCTTCCCCATGGAAGCAGTGCCCCCAGCTGGGATGGGTGTAGACCCCCCTCACTAGCTACGTTTGGTGGTCTTCTTGCACTTCCAAGACCACCCCGCAGGTCAAAGGAGATGGGAGCTTCAAGGGGAGAGGGAATACCTCCTGAGCTCGAGGTGGGCCCATCTCCCAGTGCCTTCTGTCTGGCCTGCCCCCATCAGGTGTGAATGAGGTTGATTACCGCTGGTACCCGGCGAGGGAGACCCAGCTGCAGTGGCTGCACTACTACCTGCAGGCACAGAAGGGGATGGCCGTGACCCCCAGGGAGGTGGAGAGGCTCTACGTGCAAGTCAACAAGTTTGCCCTGGTGAGTGCTTGGAGTGGGAGGGGACAAGGGAAAGGAGGAGCGAGGAGGAGGGACTCCCGACCCACCGCCAGCCTCCTACGCAGAACCCAGGGTCAGGTGTGACATCCTGGGAACACCCATCATATGCTCCTGAACCCCACCCTAGAGGTGAGGTCTGGGAAAGCCAATCTTGGGCATCCCCTTAATACTATGATGTCCTGTCCCCTACTCCCTGTGACCTATCAAGTCTAGGTTTTCTCTTTTCTAGAGAAATACTTCCAAGAAACATCCAGCTTCCTATTTTAGCAACTCTCTTATTTGATGAGTACTTCCTCCTGCTGTCTGACCTCAGCCCTTCGTACTGCAGTTACACTCGTCCTTTTTCTTTTCTTTCCTTTTTTTAAGCCTTTGGAGGAGCTAGTGTCAGGCTCTGTGACCACCTCCACTGACTCAGAGCTCTGTGCAAGCCTTTCCCACAGGCTCTTCCCACTGTCACTTGTGACTGTGCTATCCGTTCTCAGTTTTGAGTGCCACTTACCAAAGGTACATGGTTCATGCCAGGTTTCCACTGGCGTGTTCCCAGGGGATTGCTAACTAGTCTTACTGATGTCAGCCATGCATAAGCCAGAAGACAAGTCGACTGCCCTGAATTTCACTATACATAATAGAGCTAAATAAAATCTTTACTTTTCTGTGATTTCGGATTGTCTATTCTATTTTTCTCATTGGCACAAAACTGCCTCTGTGTTAGGCTCTCGCTTTTTGGTGTTCCACCTGATGAACAAGCCTTCCTCTTGCCCCTTTTAAGTCATGAGAAGGGAAGAAAGTGCAAGGAGGTACTTTGTAGCCAATCCCTCAGTGAGCAGGACTTTGGGATGGGGTGGGAGAGCCCTGAGGGTGGAGGACCTTTGCTTGAGAAAGCGACATCAGTAGTGTTTGTTCGGGGGCAGCTGGAGCCACACCTCTCATGCTCCTTGAGCTTTGGGTGACCTGGGCTTTGTGGGCACCTCTGGCTACAGCGAAGACACAGTTTAGTGCACAGTAAATGCCCACTGGGGCTTCTTGTGCCCAGGTCTAGACTCATTTTCCAACCAACAGGCCTCCCGGTAGAAGAGAAGGGAGCGGGTGGAGGTCTGTTTCGAGGGCCTTCCAGCAGACCAGACCCCTGGCGACCACGTGGCCGGGGCACTGCTGCCCTCACTCTTCTCTATCTCCCTACACCCCGCTGGGGAGGACCAGCCTGCTACTGGCCACCAGGCCTAAACTCTAGCTTAGGGATTCACCTCGGCCTGGATGCCATGGCCTTGACGACTCCGGGAGGTTTGCCTGGGTAGGGAAGAGGCTGGGGTGGAGTGTGGGTCTAGCTGGGGCCAGGGGAGCCACCTGGAATCTCTAAAAGCACCATCTGCTGACTCTCTCCCCCTCGGGGTGGGCAAACACTAGGACCTGGGTAGAACTGGCTCTGCTTGCCTTTTTCTAGTAGGAGTGGAACCCCCAATGCTGTCCAGTGACTTGGCCTCTGGAATTTCCCCAGCCTGTGCTGGGGAGACTCACCATGTCTGCCAGTGTTCTGGCTCTGTGTCTTCCAGAGTGGCTGTGTCTCTCCGACTCTGTGGGGTCCATCACAGGCCTGGGGGATTGCCAGGCTGACCCTCTCTGGTCTGTTTGCAGGCGTCTCACTTCTTCTGGGCTCTCTGGGCCCTCATCCAGAACCAGTACTCCACCATCGACTTTGACTTCCTCAGGTGGGTGCAGGGGGCAGGTTGGCAGGGGGCAGGGGAGAAAAGGAAAGAGCCTTGAGCTCAGGGTGTGGGGACAAAGGACAGCCCAAATAGAATGCCCAGAGTCCATTCCTCCGCTCTGCTGATTTGTCCTGTTCTGGCCCATTTCCAGTGGGGTCGCTGCCCCAGGACATGCCAGAGAAACACGGCTGTGAAAATAGTCATAAGTGCTCATGTCCTCCCCTGTGGCCTAGCAGGGGACTCTGCTGTTCCCTACTGCATCCTGCCACCAACTCCACTGCACCACCTTGCCACTGTATCCATGGAGCCTGGTGCCGAACAGAATTATTGAAAATCAGTCTGAAAGATCACAAGTCCTACTGTCATTTTAGAGCAGAGAGGACAGAGCTCCAGAGAGCGGAAATGACTTGCTGAGGTCACTCGGGTGATTTATAGCGTCCCTGCATGGGGCATCAGACCCACCTACTCCTTCAGTGGCTCCTAGTGCTGTATAGGGACCACACCTAGACTGTACCTGAATTTTGAGAATTCAGAGGCACCCCCCTACCCCCTCACCCCCCATCATGTGAGGTAAGGGCCAGGAATCACTTCCTCCTCCATTCCAATCCACTTCCTTTTCCCCTCTCCTCCCCACCCCCCTCAGCAGAAAGACAATTACTACCCTGGCTTCAAAGTATTCACACCCTTTAGAGAAATGCAAATCAAAAGTATACCGACATGTCACCTAGTACTACTTAGGATGGCTGCTATCAAAAAAACAGGTGTGTGTGTGTGTTTTAATTTTCTTTATGGAAAAATGGACAAAAAA